GAAACAAGATAAGACAATTTATTTTGAAGCCAATGGAAATCAGACGACAAAAATCTGAAGGTATACGAAATCTGAGCAAAGATACTATTTTGAAAATATCAGCTCAAAGTTCTCCGGGATTATCAATTTTGTAACCTATAATAAGCGCTTTGGCCATACATATAAAAATTACAGTTTGAGATGTGACCACGGCGCCTTATGGGTCCAAACATTTGACAGTGTTATTAATTTCTAAGAGTACGTTCACACTTACCAAGACGTTGTAGCCATGTCCGTCAGTCTGTCTATTGAAAACCCGATAGAGTCCAAGAGAAAAAGAGGCAAATATTTTTATTTATAGCCCCCATATAAGATCCCCTTCAGCAAATGACTTTAACGCTCATAACTTTCTAAAAGAATCATATATGTATAACGATGAAATTCGATATAAATAAGTTATATGGATCCAAAATCTTTTTGTCAAATTTTGTGCGGATAAGTTCATAATTGACCTTACCATCCATATAAAGTCCCTATGAGAATATTATTTTAACATCCATAACAGGCTTAAAAATATCAGTATAACGATGAAATTCTACATAAACATGTAGAATTTCATCTCCACCGGTGTAGAGATTCAAATTCGCCACAAACAAGTTTTATAGAAGCCAAAATCTTTTTGTAAAATTTTATGAGAATCGGTCCATAATTGACCCTACCTCATATAAAATCACTCTCAGAAAATTACTTTATCATACATAACTGGCTTCAAAATACCAGCATTTCAATGAAATTTGACATATACAATTCCTATAGGATCCAAAATCTTTTTTTCAAATTGTATGAAAATCGGTTCATATTTGGCACTATACCCCCTATAAGCTTAAACTCAGAAAATGATATTAACGCTCATAACTTGCTTTATAATGACAGTATAGCTACGAAATTTAAATTTTAATTTGTGTATGTATTGCCCATATCCTCCATATAAGGTCCCCTCAGAGAATGACGCCATATATTTAATTGGTATTCACGTATCTTTTTATATCATCTGTAAAAAGAGTTATATGGAGATGGGTTCAATAATGGACCGATTATCTTGAAATTCGTATATAAAGTTCTACACCATCAAGATTTAAAGGAAGAAAAATAATTTTTAACAAACTGTATGAGGATCGACTTTCGAATACTTCTTTACTATAATCTTATAATTTTTAAGTAAGGTAACAACGGCACCATGGTGTTACCCTAAGAACATTATTTTTCTTTTTGAAAATACTTGAATTCTTTTTTTTTTTTTTTTTTTGAAAAAAACCAGTGTTGATTGATGAAATTATTTTTGTAATTTATTTATTTGTTTATGTCGCCAAAAAGTTTTTAATTTATTCAATTAAAAACACAAACAAGATTTCATTGTCTATGAAATTGATTTATCGATACAATTTCTTCTATTTTATTGTATTTTCTCCATTCTTTGTATTTGAGTTCAATAGTCTAAAATTAAGTTTTTTTTTGTTGCAATTTAAAAAATATTGAATTCTAATGATGATAAAACTTAAAAAAAACTATTGTTTTGCCATAGTATTTAGCTGTGTCATTCTAATGAATACTAGTACTGATAATAAACTCTATGTAGTCAATAAATAAATTCACTTTTTATTTAGAAAATACTACAAGTCAATAGAAATACAACACTCCTATTAAATGTTAATTAATTTCAACTTTATGTGCGAACAAATATATTGATTTACATACATGCATACTAGCTATACCCAGTGTGCTTTGCTACCCTAACAGCAATATAAATAAAAACCCCACTTAACGATTTTAAAGATTCTGACCATAATGGTTTTCCACATATACAATTGTTTACATATGGAAGATTTCTCGCAAACTATTGCAAGTTCGCCAATTTTTCCAAACGTTAATTAAGATTTTAATGTAATCTATGAAAAATGTTAATAATCTAATAGTTTCCCAGATATATGTACAAAATTTTGTATTTAACACGTTGGCGTAAATTACGGATATAGAGGTCGAGAACGGTCGCTCGTAGATGCAAATGACGCCCATAGCCGTCATATAGTGCTATTTTTCAATATTGGTTTCACTATAAATCGGAGTATAATAATTTCTTTTTAAATCCTTCAACATTCAAATTTCAACAATAAAACAAGTCAGAGTGCTATATTCGGCTATGTCGAATCTTAAATACCCTCCACCTTTTTATGAAAACCCTTATAAATATCACTAGATCCGTATTTAATAAATTGTGAAAGTTTAAATTGCTATCATTTAGAAATCATATATACCTTTTGTGGAGATATGGTCAATTATTGGCCAATCCGAACAAAATTTCGCAGAATGATTTATCGATAAAAAAAACACAGTATGTCGGATTTTATCCGTATATATTTATAATTGAATGAAATATATTGGAAAAAGTGACTTTTGGAAATGGGTCTTATATGAGAACTAATACCAATTATACTTTGATCCTAATTAAAAAAAAAAAGATTTCTTATATACACAAAATATACTTATTCCGATATCTTTATTTATAAATGAAATATGCGATTTTCTGAAGTGGATCTTATATGACAGATATGAACAATTATGGACCGATCCGAAAAAAAAACTTATTTATATAGCCTATTTTTAAAATATCTTTATTTCTTAATCGGATATTTGCAATTAAGCGTTTTTCGGAAGTGGTCGTTATATGGCAGCTGTGACTAATTATGGACCGATCCGGAAAACATTTCGCAGGGTGTTTCATATCTACTTTAAACACATTCATGACTAATTTTATACCGATATCTTCATTCAGTTATGAAATATGCGCGTTTACGTGGTTATCGGAAATGGGCCTTAAATGGGATCTATGCCCAATTATGGACCGATCCAAAATATATTTTGCAGAGTGATATATGTATGCACAATATGTACATATTTATATTGAATATTATTTCAATATCTTTATTTCTAAATTAGTTATGTGTATTTAAGTAATTTTCGGAAGTGGACCTTACATAAGAGCTGTGACCAATTATGGGCCGAACCGGAAAAAATTTCGCAGGGTGTTTTATATCTACTTTAAACACATTCATGATGAAATTTATACCGATATCTTTATTCTGTTATGTAATATTACGTGGTTATCGGAAATGGGCCTTATATGGGAACTATGCCCAATTATGGACCAATCCGAAAAGTATTTTGCAAAGTGATATACGTATACACAAAACATATCTATATTGAATATTATTCCAATATCTTTATTTCTTAATTAGTTATTTCTATTTAAGTATTTTTCGAAAGTGGACCATATATGGGAGCTGTGACCAATAATCGACCTTTACAGATCTATGTTGGTAATATGATTTCTGTACTTATTATATACATATGTGCAAAATTTCGTGGTGATACCGATATTTTTGCCGAAGTTATTAACGATACATCTATTTCCGAGAATATGTGCCTTTGTATGGGGGCTATGAGAAATTTTGAATCGATTGTTATGAGTTTGAACTTTTTTGATCCCTGGGTAAAGAAAATAACGTGTGACAAAATTCATTCCATTATCTTTAGTAGTTTCTGAGAAAACTACTCAAGAATTAGGAAAAAAAACTTAATTTTTTTCGAGGTAGACTGAAATTTTTACTCATAACTCTTTACGTTGTGGACCGATTTGGCTGATTTTCAATACCAAACCACTTAGGACAATAGTGAATATTTTCAATGAATTTGGCTGGTTAGTTCCCCAGATAAATGAATTTTTGCATTTAATTCATATGGGAGATGCCGTACCCCCATTGATAGCGCGCCAATTTATTACTCAAAGTGTTTACATGGATGTTATAGTTCTTCGTGCAAAATTTGAAGAATCTAGTTTTAATATTTTTCAAGATAAATTAATTTTTGTATTTACTTCATATGGGAGGTGCCACGCAACCTCCTGCTAGTCCGACCACTTTTTGTCTTAAATAATCATATTGACACTAAAGTGTCTTCGTGAAAAATTTGAAAATCTAGTCTTAATAGTTTGCAAGATAAACGAATTTTTGTATTTAATTCATATGGGAAGTGTCAAGCACCCTGCTGCTAGTCCGCTCACTTTTTGTCCTAAATAATCATATTAACACTAAAGTGGCGTCAACAAAATTTGAAGACTATAACTGATATATTTTCTAAAATTTAACATTTTCTTAATATGAAAGATGCCACGACCACTATAGTCATTCCGCCTATTTTATCCACAAATATTCTTATGAATGTCAAAGTTGTCCGTAACAAAATTTAGGGCTCCAGCTGTTGCAGTTACTGAGATAATACTTATTTTGTATGTGGGCGTGGCTCCTCGCCCACTTAAAATTTCAAAATTAAAAGCAGCCTATAGCTTCTTCCAGTCGTAGTTGTCTATAAACTTCAAATTTACAAACAAACACACATTCATTTATATGTACATATATAGAAGATGTACTTAACTGTTCATTAAGTAAATATTTAGAAAGGGTATGGAAAAATTTTGTGTTTTATAAAATCTGTTAATATAAATATGGGGGATTTTAGTTCAAGTTCAAAATCGGTTCCGAAAATGCGATTATGCTCCTATACTTTACATAATGAAGAACAGTTTACAGATCTCTACGAAATCACATGAAAAAAGTTATTTAATTCTTGAAATATATTAGTAGTTCTGTATGAATTTCAAAGTCAATTGAATGGATTATTGTAAAGATTTCTTGATGAATGGTTGTACATTTGGGAAATCCTGGAATCTATCTTGGAAGTTGGCAAATAGTGTTTCAAATATTAAAAGATATTCATGTTAGACTTTCGGATGACATATCAAAGATTTCTTTGGAAATATGACAAAAAAACGACAATTTTTAAAATTTTAGGACATTTTGAAAACTCCAAATTCAAATTCAGCACAACAAAATCCTCTTTGTTTTCTTGGTGTCGACTGGCCTGTGAAAAAAACTTAATTTAAGACCCTTTTCAAAAAATTTGCAATATTTATACTAAAAATGTAATAATATTCATATACATTTTATTCATATTTCTTGTTTTGTTAAATTTAAATTAAATAAATTATAGTATATAATTAAATTAAATAACTAAACACTAGTATGGATAAGGACAAAACGGTAAAAAAATCGTACACATTCGTATTTGTTAATAAATTACATAAAATTCAACAAGATTTTAAACAATAAAAAATATATATATAAAAACGCATAAGACTAGTTATTATTTCTAAAACAAATACACAAAGAACACATTTTCTTGAGCATATTTATATGTAATACTAATAATTTGTTACTAGTCCTTTGTATGATCACGTATCCAATCCAAATATTCACTGACTCTAGTATAGACACCAGGATAACCAGGTTCACCGCATTTATTACCAAACGAAACTACACCCAATTGAAGCCAACGTGAGTCGTAGCGCATCATAAGAGGACCGCCAGAATCACCCTAAAAGAAAAATATTAGAAGCATATTATTATAGAGCAAACACTTTTGATTAATTGATACCCACCTGACAAGCATCCACACCACCATCCGAGTAACCCGCACACACAAAGTTCTCATTTATAGGTTGGAAATAAGAACGATCACAATCTTCATTACGCCAGATCGGTAGTTCCGCTTGTCTCTGTGAGGTTGATTCCTTGCCACCATAATATGTAGTACCCCAACCCACCACGGTTGCTCTTCTGCCGGGCAAACGTTCTTTTGGTGGCATACGTCCTACTCTGGGTAAACATACTGGTATAACATATTTGGACTTACGCACTGGTTTATCTAATACCAATATGGCAATGTCGTTATAGAAACCAATACGTGAAAATCTTTCGTGAGCCCGCACTTCCTTGACGGCGAATGTTACGGGTGCTGATGGTTCAGCATCGGTAGAGAGATCAATATCTCCCAAACGTACGGTAAATTGACGGGCAGCAAATCTGAAAATGTAGGGGTAAATAAAATTTTGATCTAAATTATAAAATATTAATGAGTTGCTTACGGTTTTTGTCTCGAATCCCGAGTACAATGAGCAGCTGTCAAAATATATTTGGAACCAATCAAAGATCCACCACACCAAAACTCTGTGCGCTTAGGACCATGCAAGAATATCGCTGCCATCCAGGGCCATTGACCATTAGGTGACTCTACACCACCCACAATACGACCAGTTGAATACTCTTGTTGACCACAGTCTTCGGGATCCACAATACTATTTGATCCCAAAAGTTCTAAGTCGGTGGGTTCTAAAGGTGCTTCTGTGGTTGTGGTAGTCGTAGTAGTAGAAGGTTTACCATGAGGTTTCAGCACTAAACTGGGTGAAGAGGGGCGATTTATGGGTCTTCGGGTGGTAGTTGCTACAGTGGTGGGTGGTCGTGCCGTTAACTTAAGAGGTCTTTGTGTGGTTAATACTGTGGGAGTGTCGGGTAGAGGACAACATACTCCCGGTACAAAAAGGCTCTTGAAACATAAAGATTCTCGCAAACTGCTGAGATTTAACAATAAAGCCGGACAGCTGCTTAAATCTTCACATCGTCCCGGTCTACCACTGGGTGTTTTACAACGATTTTCTACATCTTTGGCGGTAGATTCATCCGTGGCCAATGCTACAGAATCTGAGTAAGGTCTGGAGGTAGTAGCTAAGGTAGTGCTGGTGGTAGATAAAGGACGCAAAGTGGTGGGTAGAGCATTAAGGCTAGTGGAGTTAACTTGTAAATCTTGCGATGGTTTCTTCACCTTATTCTTGTTGGTCTTCTTCTTTTTCTTTCTTTTCTTAATCTCTTTATTCTCCACAAACATGGGCTTACTTATGGGCTCTTCTTGGCCAATTCTTTTATTGGCTATTTGAATATCTGATGAGCTAACGTCTTGTATAACAGAATTCTCCTCGGGCGATAAAGTTAAAACCTTAGAGGATGTTTCTCCGGCATCCTGAGCAGTGGGAATTATTGAAGTTGTTGTTGTGCTAGTAGTTGTTGTCGATACAGTCGTATCAGACTTAGCATCATGTCCCCGCATCGTATCGACTAGCATATGACCTACAGTATTTAAAGCACCCAACGTTTCTGAGATACGATGAAATGCTGATTGTGACAATAAACGTGGTATGGACTCATTACTACCACTTTCACTATTACTACCACTGCTATTACTTTCATCACTCTCTTCATCATAGTATTCCGTAGAACCTTCATCATCTTCAGAGTCATCCTCCGCCAGCGAATCAGCTGCTGAGTCTGATTTGGGATCTACATCTTGTTTCCAATCCTTATTACGTCCGGCTCGCTTCGTACTAAGTCCCACTAGTGGTTTGGAAAATGGTGAGTCCGATTGTGACTGGAAAAAAGACGCTGCCTTAAAAGTAGTTATGAATCCAAACTCAATTGTTATGTATGGGTTAATAGTGTGTATTTTGAATTTCTTAATACTTACATTGATCGTTCATCAAGTGACGCGGTTCATAGTCATCATCATCGTTACCGGGCGATGCCGTTACTTGAATTATTATGGCTGCTAACAGACCTGAAACATATTAAAATTAAATATAAATAAATATTCTTTACTTTTCAGAATATTTTTCTCTCAGTGTTTTAAATATACATAAATGTATTGAATAAAATGTCATCGTAACATATCAAAGTCTTGTCCGACTATTGATAATTTCCATATGCTAATGATTGAGTAATCTTTATTTAATTTTTATTGTTAACAAAGTAGACAAACAATACCGGTGCTGCTCCATTTGTTTGCAATGTTTGTATAAAAAATTAAAATCTATTCAACAGAAATAACAACAAATGAACACACAAAATGCAATAACCGGGTAAATAAATACACAAAATATCTAAATGTATGATGGTTTTTGAAATGTTTTGAATGAATGCCCCTGAGACTGACAAAATTGTTGAGAGACCGAAAAATTGTGTCGTTCATCAATTCAAAAATTAAAAGTCACCTTTACCAGGTATGACTAACTATTTGTCGACTGCACACATTTGTTTCGTATACTTTCAATAGTATTAAGTTAAAGTGTTTGTTTAGTTTTAAATAATTTTTTTTGTAAATATTTTTGTTTCAATTCAATTTGCAGGCAATACTCGTACAAGTACGCACTCACAACACGTAAGAGTTGTTTAAATTAACCTGCAGAAATGTTTTTTAAAAACTTGGCAAGTTGCCAGAAATTTTATATCCAATGTCAAATATTTTTGATAAAAAAAATCCAAAATTTTAAAATTTCTTAAATTACTTTAAAGAACCATAATAAATAGATTTATTTTCAAGAAATATTTCAGAATATACATACATATGTGGGATTTTCAATTTTCCCATACTCATTAAATTTAGTAAAACCAGATACCAAAATGTTAATAAATTTAAATGTTATTCGTTTTTGGTTATAACCGTCTTATCTTGAAATCTATCGAATCAGTAGTTTTACTAATTCGGAACATCGGAATGCTGATTTAGGGGCATTCAGACCAGATTTTTTAATCCAATTTTTCTTAAAAAGAGTGGTAGTTTTCAATATACTTCTTAGGTATCTTTATCTTGGAATTCCAACCCTCGGTTACAAAAATCTGTCATACGTACGCCATAGACAGTATTTAAAAATCAGATCCTTACACTAGACAGAGATCAATGTACCAACTATCATTATAAATCACAAAACTAGCTGATTTATTATATTCCAAAGGTTATACTTCGGTTACGGAGGGATTAATATCTAAAATTGTTATCGTTTTATTAGAGCGACTTTGGAATAACCACATGATTAACCTCCTATCGAATATGTTTGTGAATTGAAGGGCAGATACTGAATACATTCCGATGCAAACGGAAAACCCACCATTAGTCGTTAAAACCCACGAGGTTCATACACATATTTTGCAGTCTCTCTAAGCATAAAGGATATACGCTGAGTTGCTTGAGTTAAGTATTATATTAAACCCTATGGATTCATAATCATACGCCTAATGTCTAAGAAGTTATCCTCTAAAAGTTTGTGGAATTCCCTTTTCGCAAGAACTTTCGCTATCCGATTAGATTAAAAATTTATAACAGTTCTTGGACCGAACTAACACACGAATATTTCTAGCATTGAAAATGTCAAAAGAAGTATGGAAGCTAAGGTTAAATGATGGCCATTCACATCAAATGGACAGGCAGCCGGACGGACATGGCTTAATCGACTCAGAAAATTATTTTAAGCGTTGCAGACATCAACACACACCCATCTTGCCTTCCTCGTTAAAGTGGTGTATTAGATAATTAGACTCGAAGTAAAGTTTCTAATCCATTGTAGGCCCTCGTTCAAAGACCCACACGTATTAGGTATTTGTGAACAAGTAATATATGCTGGAAGTAGTGCTGTTAAAGTATTGAGTAGTGGGTATCGAGTATTTGCTCTATTTTTTGGGCACTCAATACTAAAAAATAGTTACTCAATACTTTCAGACTTGTATATGGATTTAACTTATTTAAATTTAACGGCTATGATGTGAAAAAATACAGTTCTACAACTAATACAGATCATATCATTATTAGAAATGCAACTCTTAGCAATATCAAATCATTATAAAAATAATTTAAAAACTGCAATAATAGTTAAAAAATTACAAATATTTATTGACGCAATCTAAAAAAATAAAATGTCTCAAAAGAGGTGTGATGTCTGGTCTAAGTTTACTTAAAAAAAAGGAAAAATTCCTCGTTTCTAATTTAAAATAAAACCGTTAAAAATATCGAGTAGTATTGAGTACCCAAACGAATAGTATTGAGTAGTATTGCGTAATCAAAAGTAGTAGAATATTACAGCACTAGCTGGAAGATATATAGCTTTTTTTCTTACCGCAGATTTGATTAGTTTTCACTTAAGTCCCCTTCACATGAGCACACAAGTAATATGATCTGTCAAAATTTTGAGTAGAAGAGAACGGATGGGATCGTCTAAACGCAATATGTAACGAAATCATCACACATTGAGAGAGAATACGGATGGAAAATTTGACAGTCGTATGGCTCTCTTCATTTTTTGAAATGGTTCAAAAAACAAGCAAGTCGCATTAGATCAGGGATGTATTTTTAGGTAAACACATACAAAAAAGTGAAACATCTGTTTCATCTTACTTTGTTATTGTTTTATATCAATCGTGTAAACACAAAAAATATAAATCATACGACTTTTATTCTCTTTTTTGTCATACAGATGGAAATTCATTTTACTTTTTCATTAGACTTGTCGTACGTAAAGTGTGATCGTCTGAAGGGCCCTTTAGTTTCTATTTATAACAGATTTACATAAAATTTAATGTTTTATATTAAGTGGCATCACTCTAAAGTTTTTTTTTTAATTTGGGATCATGCCATGTTTTCAAGTTTGTTTACATTAATTGGTTTTTGACTCATAGTGTCTTTTTAATTTGGGCAAAGCTGTCTTAATATCTGGAAGTCATACTTAAAGTTTATTTTTCGATAGTTTTAAAATTTCAAAAACGATGATTTTAGTCTGTTGGTGCATTGTGGTACGAGAGTGATATAATCATTATTCATGTTTCAGAGAAGACTTAACATGAATTTATGGAAACATTTATTTTGTTTCTCTTTTTTTTTGGTGAATTATTTATGTCAAGCTTTCATATTGTACAAAATTCAAGGTCGCATAGCATTTCTTCTGTGATCATTATGGAATTTAAAGACTCATTTTATAAAAGTCGAACAGAAATGATGTTTATCTTTGAAACAATTTAATTACAGATAAATCTTTAAGGAGTGTTTTTTTATTTATGAACCTTTAGGTAAATTTATATGTTATTTTAGTTGTTTATGATTGTTTTTTAATATTTATGTATTTAGTTTTTTTTTTTTTTTTTTGTTAAATATTTTGTTGTCACTTTCACTTAAATTTTAGTTTTAACATGCAAAACATTCGAGGCAAAATCAACCTACAATATTTAAATTATTTTGACATTTCTACAGGTAATTATGCATTCAGACATTTGTGTTTATACAATTAATGTTAATATTACTATTATTTTATTTAATTGCTATGAAGAGTTCATGTATGGTGTAAAATTTTATAAATATTTGTATATTTTTTACGCAAAAGTAACAGTAAAAGTTAAATTACAATTGCGTTCAAAGAGATCAACTCTCACTTGGAACAAATGTCATGCTTAATTATTTATTTGTGAGTTTTATTCACTACAAACAATGTTCTGATCTCTTTTCATATATTTCCCGAAGTCTTAATTTATTTCTCAAAGTGGTTCACAATCTTTTCTTTTGGAAATATATACATACATATGTAGCTTAGTATCTCGTGGGATATCTCCAATATCGTAACGAAATTTCACATATTCGTAAGTTGTGTTTTCGATTTTTTTACAATTAGCCGGCTTTGTATAGAATGGGTGGTTTTTGTTAGTAATTTCAAAAATAATAGACCAGATTATAGAATAGACTATATACTAAGCTATAGACTAGACTGTAGACTAGACTATAGACTAGATTATAGACTAGACTATAGACTAGACTATAGACTAGATTATAGACTATAGACTAGACTATAGACTAGACTATAGACTAGACTATAGACTAGACTATAGACTAGACTATAGACTAGACTATAGACTAGACTATAGACTAGACTATAGACTAGACTAGAATAGACTAAAGACTAGACTAAAGACTAGACTATAGACTAGACTATAGACTAGACTATAGACTAGACAATAGACTAGACTATAGACTAGACTATAGACTAGACTATAGACTAGACTAGACTATAGATTAGACTATAGACTAGACTATAGACTAGACTATAGACTAGACTATAGACTAGACTATAGACTAGACTATAGACTAGACTATAGACTAGACTATAGACTAGACTATAGACTAGACTATAGACTAGACTATAGACTAGACTATAGACTAGAATATAGACTAGACTATAGACTAGACTATAGACTAGACTATAGACTAGACTATAGACTAGACTATAGACTAGACTATAGACTAGACTATAGACTAGACTATAGACTAGACTATAGACTAGACTATTGACTAGACTATAGACTAGACTATAGACTAGACTATACTAGACTAGACTAGACTATAGACTAGACTATAGACTAGACTATAGACTAGACTATAGACTAGACTATAGACTGGACTATAGACTAGACTATAGACTAGACTATAGACTAGACTATAGACTAGACTATAGACTAGACTATAGACTAGACTATAGACTAGACTATAGACTAGACTATAGATTAGACTATAGATTAGACTATAGACTAGACTATAGACTAGACTATAGACTAGACTAGACTATAGACTAGACTATAGACTAGACTATAGACTAGACTATAGACTAGACTATAGACTAGACTATATACTAGACTATAGACTAGACTATAGACTAGACTATAGACTAGACTATAGACTAGACAATAGACTAGACAATAGACTAGACAATAGACTAGACTATAGACTAGACAATAGACTAGACAATA